GCGTTACAGGGCAAACAAACACAGGAACGCATCCATCTGTTTTGTAGCAAAAGAGCTAAGACTGTTTTAGATTAATTGTCACAATCAGAACTCTAACAGAACGCTCTTCGACCCAGAGGGATCAATACTACACAAAACAATTGTGATGTAACAGTTAATGTTGCCCTTGCACAATCATTTCTTTTACTTGATGCGTGATGACATAACAGCTTTTGTATCCATATCCAGTCCAACTTTTGATTTCACTGTGACATCACCGAATATTTCATAAAAATGCATGAAACATAAGCTGCAAAGGGATGAAATAAATCCCTTTGCAGATGAATGTTGGGCTATTAGTGGTGATTGATTATACTTCCCTTCAAGATCAGCGCTGAGCATATCCCTCTTAATAAACATGTCTGAGGAGCGTGGATTTGTAACACCAGCTGTGTGAAAGTGAAGTTTACAATAGTTTTAGATGAGATTCTCTGCAGCCTATTAAAAAAAAAAAAATCTGTCGAACATTTCTTTGCATGGCTTACATTAACAGCTTTGGGAAGCTTAATGTCCTATTTCTTTGAGTGTAACAGTTGCAGTCAAAAAAGTAGTAGATGTGCACAAAGTCATATCGAGCGAGCAGAGGAAATTGCCCAATCGCAGATTAAGCATTTCTGGTAACTAATTCCCTGTGCAGGCTGGAGAGGGTGGTTCTGTTTTGAACATTCCTCATCCCTGAAGTAACAACAAAAAAAAGAATTGGAAATATTTGTTTCAGTGTCCCGTAGCCAATTAGCCCCAAAGATGAATGGAAAAGGATATTTGAGATGGCATAAATCGGTTGTGAGCACATTCCAGCTCAGGACATAAACTCCAGCTCTGTTTTTATCGGTGTATCTGATTGGCTGGCGTAAACACCATTACCTACTGTCAGCTGACTCAGCAGTAGGCTCTTTCATGTTTGTGTATCTCCAGGGCTTTTAAGACCCACATTAAACACTGGCAGATCTGACGGTCCTTTTGACCCCGTCGTGCATTCTTGAAGCTGTGCCTCAGTTTGTCTTCCTCGCTTCTCTTCTGAAGCCTCCCTTTCCTCTGTATGTTCAGATCTTCTGTACATCTCTTGTCTTGTCTTTCTCCTTCCTTTCCTTTTCAGCTTTCCTCTCCTCTACTGTCTATCAAACTCTACTGTCAGTATTTACTTTGCCTTCTCATTACTAAAGGTCCAGTTAAACCAGCATTTCAAATCACAAAATTGATTTCTTTGGAATTGCCAAAATTAATAATTTAAACTGTGGGGTAGATGTAAATATGTACTTTATTTAGCCTCAACTTCAACTTCAGGAACTTTGAAATTTCTGCTGTCTTGACAGCGCTGACATTTGATGGCAGGGAGCGCCGCAGGGAGGAGGCTTATTGCTCCATTCACTTTAGTTTAATCTCCCTCCGTCAGAGTATAAACTTCTCCACAGCGATGAAGCTTACAGAAAGTTGTTATGTGCAATATGTTCAAGAAGCAATATGTTTCAGTAGAAGCCTTATTTGTTGTCGCTGCTATTTTCATTTACTCATTGAGAGATCAACAGGGAACAAACGCCTCATCAGTTCACCGCGGTGCTCGACTCTGACTTCAGCAGCCCCCTCCACACACACAGCCCTTCACTAATGCTTAGTGTTTTTGTGGTGACAAGCCTCATTTGTCCTCAGTTGAAAAATGTTTCTGTTTACTCGTCTGTCCAATGTGAGTAACATCCACTAATCTTACTCAGTCACGTTAGTTCTTCCCAAGTTTGAAGTCATGGAACCAAATTCACAGATTAGTTTATTTTACAATAGACTGATGAGTCATTCTGATTACGCAAATTTGAAAACTACACCGTGTTTTCTTGTCAGTATTTGGACTTTAAAGCTGTTTCAGTGACTTTATTTACCAAACCATGACACATTATCTTAATAAATATTTCCAAGTCTTAAAGGAAAAAATGGGGATTTTGCATTGCAGCAGTAAAGTCAGTGGCTATATAGACCTAGTACTGTTCACACACAAACTCACACACCTCTAGAAGATTGTGAAGCAATAAGCAAAGTTTCCCATAGTTGGAGCTTGTGTTCAGCTTAATTACACACCAATTATAGTAAAATTCCTTGTCAAAAAGTTGATACTAGCACACCACATCAGCTCATATTATGTGTATAATACATTGGACCTGCACATTACAGGGGGCAGCGGATTAAAACAAACTAAAGAGGCTCAACTCCAGTTTAATGATGCCTCCACTTTGGGATTAAACAGGAAGAAATGATTTAATCAGCTGTGACTTGAAACCATGGTCCCGGATGAGAATGAGTTGAAATTAGACACACGTCACTTGAAACTGCTGTTTGCAAATATTTGGATCTTAGAACGATCTGCAGTTTTGTGGAGAGAAAATAACGCTGGCTTTGCTGAAAAGGAGCTCAGCTATATTGAAGTGGGGAATGTCATCAACACTAAACACAAGCAAGCAACACTCACTGTAAACAAATACACATATCTTAAAGAGGGACTTCCGCTCTCAAGTTGTGTCAAATGGGTAGAAGACAGATGAAGACGTAGAGAAGAAGTGCTGCATTTCCTGAATTCATCACCGCAGTGACCTCGGGCTGTGGGAATGAGGAATCCAGCTGATGCCTGAGTTCAGTTCCCCGGAGGGTTGCGACCATAATTAATCTTGACGATCCTCTTTTTCTCTCTGTCTGACACACACACACACACACACATACTGTATTTTCATAGTTTGGTATGATCATGAAACAGGTATTGCATTTGCATTCTATGTGGTTATAAAAAGGTCTTACGCAAATTGGACTTGGCGAGCCCTGCAGACGGCCTGCTAGAAAGCCCTGTTTGTGTTTTAGCTCCCCTGCACACTGTTGTCCCCTTCTCCCCCTCCGTATCTACCCAGCACAGACCCATGAAGCTGTCACATGTGAAATAGTTTAATTCTCTCTTTGGCCACAGCCATAAAACATGAGGTAGCCAGTCTGGTTGGGCAAGATAAACAAATCCGGCGCCTTTAGTGGGAAAGAGGGATTGTTTTTATATAATAGTTGGAAACTCACACGGCTTTGCTTTTTATTCGGCCACAGTCTTTTTGTAGCTTGTATTTTCGGCTTTAATAGTATCGTTTTGCGTAATTTTAGAGAGCAGATTTAGCTGCGAGGAAGAGCACATTTTGCATTAGCTGATCCCCAAAATTCTGATTCAAACCCCCCTCCCCATCATCATGCACGTACACACACACACACACACACACACACACACACACACACACACACAACCATGAGCGCCTTTCCTTTATGTCCCACAGACATGCTATCTGGTGATGCACATTCTCCTCTCATGTGGAAAACAGAATACATGAATGTAGGTCACCGCCACAGACTATAGTCCACACGCCTCCTTGCTGGAACAGACTGAAAGTGCTGTTCATGCTTTCCCAGACTTATGCCAGGAATTCCATACGAAATCCAGGGCGGCATGAACTCACAGATACAGTTAACGGATTAAACCTGCAGGCTGCAGCGGATACATTAAAGCCGTAAAAACATCTAGTGCGTGCAAACTAGGTTCTGCTAGCAAGCTCAACTGCATGACAGTCTTCCTGTTATCGAGCTCAGCTTGTGTGAGACTGAGGCAGCCTCACTAATCCGGTGAGAAATGCAGTGTGGCGACATGCCATTCGTCTGCTATGTTCTTTTCTTGGAAAGTCACGTCATGTTCAGTCTGGGTGAACGTGGTTACAATTTGTCGACAACATACTGAAACTAGACGTTTGGTATGCAACTGAAACAAAAAGTAATTGTTTCTGTACAGCTTTACAGGAGTGAATTTCTGGGGGGAAAAGTTACACTGTTGGTCTTGCTGAGTGCCATCGTCATATATCACAACATGAGTAATACAGACCCACCCAAAGCCAACAGAGCGATACAAATCGTTTTTAAACTCTGCTTAACTTTTATTACAACTTTTGTTCCAGGGTTTTTATTTGTATGCTTTCATCAGGAGCACAGTTTTACTGCTTATCAGTAAATCTACACGTCATCTTATCATCGCCAACAGCTTATTGGGACGTACTCTAAAACCTTGACTGAAAATAGTGACTTTCTAGTTGACGTGACTTTAAAAATCAGTCCAACTAGACACAAAAAAACACCATAATTTCTCACTGAAATCTAATGATATCTGGCCATTCAGATGGTTTTATTTGCCCAGTTTATCTCCCTCTTTAATACTTATGAAAACAAATCTACGGAAATTTGTTTGTCGGGCTCACAGCATAAACTAATGACAGAAATCAGCAGTCAGTGTCCTTGTTGCTCTGTGTAATGCCCTGCAGCTTTCTCAGCAACTATAATTTGTAGAAAGCAGTCCCTTTATGAAAATGGTTGGGAGATCTGTGGATAATTCAGAGCAACTACTACTCAATGTTTGTGTAAAGACACCTTGCTGTTAAATGTAGTTTTCCAATGCTGTGGGCAGCACAAATATAATGTACCTTCCTTGTACTAGGGTGAAGACAGAAATCTGTCAAAAGGAAACCGAAGAAGTAAAACTAGCTGCATGGCTTAGATACCTCCATGTGACAAAACATGTTTTTGTTGTATGTGGGTGGAGGCACAAACGTCAAAGATGGATATCTAAAAAACTGGGCAAGTAAAAACTAAACTATCTTAATGACCACATACCACTCGAGATAAATGAGACCAGTTTTTTATGCCTCCGCGCCAATGATATCTAATAATATGCAGATTATGCCAATTTCGCATAAACGTCTATTCGGATAAAATCATCATCATGGTATTTTGCAAAAATATGGCTGTAGACTGCAACTTACCTGGGTGGTTATTTATTGCCATTTTGATGGCCTTTAAACAGCCTAATGGTTTTGCAATAACAGTTTACCAAAAGTGTCCCCGCCTTTTTGTGATTCGAATATCACAGATTTTTAGAATAATATAACTTTTCTTCTTAACCCAAGGTGCCTTTGCCAAGGTGAAGGAGAGCCAGCGGATGAGCGACGAAGGGAAAATGGATCAGGACGAGGCCGACGGCATTAGGAAACGCTGCCGGACGGTCGGGTTCGCCCTCCAGGCAGAGATGAGCCACTTCCACCGGCAGAGAGAGGTGGACTTCAAAGACATGATGCAGGCCTACCTCACGGAGCAGATCGCCTTTTACCAGCGTGTTGTCCAGCAACTGGAGCGCACCCTGCACATGTACGACTGTCTGTAAAGACGCCGAACTGCTGTCCAGTTCAAGATGCCAAAAAAAAAAAAACACAAACGAGAAAGGAAGATCCAAGTCTTCACTCTTTTATCAAGGCGTTTTGTGTTCGTCATGTTTGGTTCAGTTGGAAAAGACTTGCAGATAAGTTAAGCAATAGTTAGTAGAAAGACATACAAAGCCAGTCAGTCTTTCCCTTTGATGGATTCAAAGTCACTTTTATTTTTCATGACCTACTGTACCTTTTTATTCCTCAAATACACATCCCATAGGCAATGTCACAGCACATGGTTAATTTGACATAATTTAAGGTGTTTGAAACAATAAAATAAGAATATAGGTTCCGGATTCATAGCGAATCTGTCGTTGATTGTTCTAAAGTGTAATACCATGAAACGGGTCCTGTTTTGAAATTGTCCCCTTCTCTCCAACATCATGCACTTTGTTTCTGATTTCTTTAACCCCCCCCCATATATTTTGTTACATTTACCAACATCTGATAAACAATCCAGTCACAGATTTTTCTCATTGGACCTTGAAAAGATCGTATTTCTGGCCAAACTAGTGCACGGCATACTTTCACCATCGTCTTGTTGAGTGCTCACCTTGCTCAAGTGTTCACTGCATTGAAATTGGTATCTGTGACTTATACTCTTAGTACAAGTCACAGATGTCTGTCTTAACTTTGCACCATGTGGAAGACTTACTTAAACTGCACAAATCAGTTTGTTTTCTTGCGATTTCCATGCATTAAGTGCCTTTAAGAATCTGAAGCAATCTGATGGGATATTTTTAAATAGCCCATTTGTCTGTAGAATGGCTTGCGTTTTATTGGGGGAATTATTACAAATGAGTTGCATTTAGAAACAAGTTTGCACATGTTTTCATACACTAGTGTGTGTTTGTGTGTGTGTGTGTGTGTGTGGGGGGGGGGGGGGGATTATGTCTGGGTGAGCGAATGAAATGAGTTAACTACTGCGCTGATCAATTCCCTTTCTCACGGTGGAAAACAAAAAAATATATATTCTTTTATGTTGCAGCAGGTTTATCGAGCCAACTACTATGAAACTGAAAGTCAGACAGCTGAAGTGTATTAAGTGGTTTTGTGAGGCAGAACATCAAGTTGACATTTCAGTGTTTAAATCGTTTAGTTACCACAAGACCAGATTCTTCCTGTTATTAGAGTTTTGTGATCAATGTAGTCTGGGTCAAAAAACAGAATGATTTAATGTTGATATCAAGTATTTTAAAACAACATCTAATGCACAAATAAAACCACATTATATCATTCCGATCATCTATATACCCTGCAGCCATAATAACTAATAGATGCTTCTTTGCTTTCGTGCCATGAGTTTGATGAGAAGATCGATGCCACTCTGATGTCTGTCCCTTGATTATAAAGCTACAGCTAGCAGATGGTTAGCTTAGCTTAGCATGAAGACTGGCTCTGTTCAAATCTTATCTAATACTCACTTATTAAAAATGTTATATTTCGTTTGTTTAACCTGTACAAAAAACAGAGTTCAATATGCGTTTTACACCCAGTAAAACCGCAACTTGTCATTTTTTACACTTGCGTTTTGTATGGATTTAAAAAATGAAGTCTCCTCGTTTCCAGGCATTATGCTAAGCTAAGCTAACAAGCCAAGAAAGACAGCAAAATGTTGAACTTTTCCTTCATTAATAATACTTTAATGCTCTCCTTCCAGCTGTCATCACAGTGATGTAGGCCTATCACTTGAGTTTTAAATGACTGTGAGGATCCGAGTTCCACTCGTCACTGCTTGAATGAGATGTTTATAGCTAAATTAGAGATGTTCCAGTAACATTACTCATCCTGTTTAACAAGAGAGAAACAAAATTCATGGCAACTTGCGGTTAGACGAGACTATCTTAAGCGTCGTGTTAACCTATTTATATGTGGAGTCTGCGTTTGCAATTATAAGCATTAGCTGAAGAACTACAGGGAATGTTTTTGTGAGCTTGACACGCTTCTCCTCAAACCAGTGTTTATTCCTCAGTTGTGGGACACTGATTCTTCATTTTGATGGAAGAGGGATTGATCTCTCAGTGGTGTGTTTGGGTGTGGATGAATCGTGAAAAGGAAACATTATCTTTGTGACATCTCTGCCGGGTGTTTGTGAGATTCAAAATATGAAGTTAGAGCCTTATTATGGTTCTCTCTCAACAAAGAAGTGCTGATTCAGTGCAGGTTTCTCAGTAAACAAATGGTCTGTGTGTGTGTGTGTGTGTGTGTGTGTGACTCAGATATGAGTGTCTCAGTTAGCGGTACTGTTCAGTCCACATCTGCAGCCTTTAACTCTTTGCTGTCTAAATGTGGTGTTGTTTATGGTTATTTTTGAACAACCCTTTGCTTTTCATACTTCAGCATTTTTTTATTTTTCTGTCAGCATTTGCACTCATCGCCGTTTCTCCGAGACCAAAGAAGTCAGACATTTTCTACTGGGCTTCCTTTCTTTTTTTACTCTGTTAGGTTGAAGTGAAATTGAATGTGCTCTCTGGTTTTGTAATTGAATCTGTTCTACTCTGAGGAAAATGTGAAGGGAGCGTTTGGAAAAAAAAAAAAAAAAAACATTCCACAAAGAAACTGTAAAGAACACCAAATGAGAAGACAGATTTTGGGCAAATGAAAGACGTGCAAGGTGCAAAAGAACAAAAAACATTCAAAGAGATGCTCAATTAGGTTTCATAATGACATTTTCCTCATGTTCCAAAGCTGCATGGCAAGTTAAATGCCAGGCATTTTACACAGGTGACTGTTTCTTGACATGGATGCGTGACCGGGTGAGTTGCAGGAACTCTTTAGTTTCAGTCTCTGAAATAACAGATGGTGATTTTCCGTAAGTAATTCGTCACTTGATTTAAGGGAAGGGGACCTACAAATGTTAATAAAAGTAATGATGGTGATCGCATGCTGTCTGTCTCTTCTTTGTGGATTTGTACAGCAATATTGTGAGTTTGTTTCCATGCAGATGTTATATCTGGACCACTCAAGTATTCTGTGTTATAGTTGGAACATGCGAGCGTCATATTTTATTTACAGTTACCCATACAACTCCTCTCTTAAGCATAAACAACAATTTACCAAAGAAACACTGAAGAAAATCATCTGGGACACTGAAACATTCACCCGCTTTAGCCAATGAGCGTTTGTTTTCCGTACTGTTGTTGTCATATTTCTTCCCATACTTAGCACACGAGGATATTTGTGAGCGGGATGTGATGACGCACACAAACAGTTTGTCCTGAATATAACCAAAACAGGGACAGCCAGGAGCTGCTATCCAAAGTTCCGTGTACACTCAAAACAAAAGAACACATTGACGTATACCAAAATGAATGACACACAGAAGAAATGTGCGCACATCTTGCCAGAAGTCTGAATAGAGCAGAATTCTTGACATCAAATTCAAGTTTGGGTTGGAGTCGTCAATCTGTTAGGTCTATTATCTGTATGTTTACACCAGAAAGCATTTCTTCCTGTGTTCTAGCCATGGTAACGCTGTGGCTAGCATTGTCAGACAGTTGGTTCAGACTGAAATATCTCAACAGCTATTGGATGGGTTGCCATGACATTTCGTACAGACACTCATGTTTCCCCACAGCTACTGAGGTTTGTGATCCCCTAACTTTTCCTCCAGGACCACCAGAGAGGTTCACCGTTTTGGTTTTGACTAAAATATCTAGACAACTACTGGACGGATTACTTTGGCATTTGCTACTGATATTCATGGTCCCTAGACGAGGCATTCTTCTAACTTTTGTGAGCACTTAAAGTGAGAGCTAACCCCAAAATACAGCAGTTTCATGTTGGAACTATTTTCTTTCAACCACAGTTCCTTTATAAAACTGCTCACAACAAGGTCTCAGGATTGTAACCGGGTCGGATTTCTGGAAAGAGACATTGCTGTTGAGTTTTTCAAATGTATTTTTTGTCGCTTTGAGCACTACAAGCCAAGTGCCATATTGTCCCCTATCATATATTCCCTGAACTAGGAAATTAACGGCAAAACCATCTAGTTTGATAAACAGCAATACAGGTTTCACTTTGAGGAGAGCCTAACAAACAAATTTCCCCTTGGGGGATGAATACAGTATCTATCTATCTATCTATCTATCTATCTATCTATCTATCTATCTATCTATCTATCTATCTATCTAACAGAGTCGCTAGCATGGCAGCACCCTCTCAGTATTACTTCATATTAATTCATTTTTAACATGGCGACAGCTGGACCGTCGGTTAGCAGCTAACAGAAGGAACAGTGCAAGTAACAGGGCGGCGTTATTGGCAGTAACCATCGTATGAGCGCAGTACAGAGTGATGGTGATTAGCTAGCCAGTGGGGCAACCACACTGGGACTCACATTCACTAACACGGACACGCGGCCGGACCGGCTATGTTAAAAAAGCACAGAGAGGCTCGTATAACAACACACACAGAGGGAGAGTGACAGCATTACCTCTCAGTGCGCCAAAGCGAAATTTTGTATTTTTAAGTCTACTTATTTAAACTTATGAGATAGCATATGTTTATCCTTGTTCATAAAAAACAGAACCTGTTCTTTAGCTGTATGGATGTGTAAGAAACCCACCAAGAAACAGTTAACACACATCCTCATATGCTCATTTTTGTCAATGAATATTTTATTGAAAGTTTCCTGATATGAGTGAAGCTCTCCTGCTGGGTTAATTCATGGATACATCTGATGAATGGCAAACTGTAATCTAGTACAATATGTTAAAGAGAAACCCCGGCTTTTCCCTTTAATCTGTTCCAAAAGTTTCGGAAGCAAACTTTTCATTTGGACAGCTCAAAATCAACAGCTCCGTTGTTGAAGTGAATGAGGCGTTGGCATGGATCTAAATAACATTGAGCTCCCTCTTCTGTTTCAACCCTAACAGCAGGTGTCTTTGGTTTGTACCATTATAGTAACAGTTCATCTCCGTCGCGTTGACATATTAGTGATGCTAAAGAATCACAGTTGCTCTACTGTTTGTCAAGAACGAGGTGTACTTTACAGATGCACGTCCAATCTTTTCAACTTTAAAAAGAAAAAAGAATCCAGATTTTTCTATTTGAACCCAATGCCTGGGTCTGATGGTAATGTTTCCGGCTTTCTCAGGTTTTGGTACGCAACACGGTTGATGTCACCTTCATGATATGTGCCAGGAGGAGGCGTCATCAAGTTCACTGAGAAAACCCAAGACTGACGGGCGAGAGAATATCTAAATTTGAACCATAAATCCGCACACTTAATAGGGTGGTGAAAGCAGATTTAAACGGTATTTTCAGACGAATTAAGTTTGCCTTCCACACATTTCTATATTGTACACCACAGAGTACTAGTGCAGCAAAAAGGCCTCAATGGTAGTAAAATGACACCTTGGAAAAAGTTCCAAGACCTTAAGTTGTTGCCAAAGTAATGCTAACAGCGCACTTCTCCGCAGAAACCCAGTTCGTGTGAGCGAGGAAGTGGGGGAGATGAAAACCGGTCAACTTTGCCTCCTTTTAGGCTTTTTCCATCAGACACAGCTGAAGCCTGGATGAGCTAACTACCTCTTTTCCAGAAGGGAACAGTTGTTGATACTGCTCCAGCTTGGTGCTACAATTGTTTTATCATTAAAAAAAAACCTCAAAATACCCTGTTGCTCCTGGTCTGGTCATGCTTGGGTGCCATGTTGCGATTCACATTTACATTACTTAGCACATTCGTCTTCATGCCCGTAACGTCCAATGCAACACACCTGGCTCATCTAAAGGGGGAAAAGTGTAGATTTCTTTCAGGTCTGCAATGCTGCTGCTCGGGCACATGGTAAAAGCATTATGGCCCAAAGTGCCAGCAGATGTCCATAAAAGAATAAAAAAACAAAAAAAAAAACAAGATGCTGAGCAAAGGGAAGGAGCAGTTTCATGTCTGCATAGCCTGGGGAGGAAAAGTGCACCTCCAGCCCCTGGACAGGATGCCTCAGAGGACACGACGTACCCAGAGTCCTCATTTGTTTCCCTTAATGAAAAATCAGTCTGAGCTGCATGAGCACAGAAGCGAATGTGTTTAGGTTTAACTGTTTGACTGCAGACATGAATCACACTTTTTCAAACACGTCAAGACTCAAAGACTCACATTTCCCAGTCATTTCTACGGAACATTCCCTCACGTATTTGGTCTATATGTAAAGCAGTATAAAGGATTCTTGAGTTAAATTCGTCATTACTATCACTTTCATGGATGACCAGACAGGATTGTTGTCTCCCTCCTGGACTGACTGGAGTAACATGGTCTTGACCTCCATGGTGCAGAGGATTACAGCGTCGTCCTCCTCCTCGAGCATTAGGAGGAAACAAAGGCAACAGATGGCCAAATCAACACACATGGTGGGTTTGGTAATCCCTCCTTCTTTTGCTTCTCCTGCTTGCTGCTGGGGCCAACGTCCCAGCAGGGCCAAAAGCCAACATTCAGACCAGATTTGTGTTCGTTTGGGAGAGGAATCCTGGCGCTGCCAGTCTTTGGGGGTAGTTATTGTCCCTTTACTGAATTACCAATATAAGTTACAATCATGAAAAAGTGTTATTTCAAGCTTTCCAGAGATGTCATGGTAAGTATTTTTGTCATTTAGTTTTATGCAGAGACAAATAGGATTATCCAGATAACTCCTTATTGCAGATGTTCCAGACGTTGTTATCTTGTAACCTCGTAAAATGAAGCAATATCTACTCGTGACCATTAAATGTGCAATGTGTAATACTGAGCCACCTGCTCCAAAGAAATAGGGGGAAGCATTTCATCCCTACTACTGGGTCTATACAATCTAAATGTACCATCATAGTTGGTATAAAAGTTATATAAAAAAGCCAACTACTAACTAACAGCAGGGCAACGTCAAACTTTATAGAAATTGATGAAACTCTGAGAGCCGGTCAAAATAACACTGTTATCTTATGATCTTCACATGTGGTGTCGTCTTCTAGGTTACTTAAGCCATCTGTGTGTGGTGAGAATCACAGAAAGTTTGCTTATTGGACGGGGAGTCGGGGCAGAAGTGGTATTACAAGAAAGTAAGGGCCCCCACTAGTTAGTTATATGCTAAATTCAGTAGATATCTCTACAACACAATACATAGATGTATTTAACATATTGCCAACAATGTAACTTCTTCATATACTGTTGATATTGTTAATTGACTTTTTGATGTTTAAAACTAAAATTCTGGCTATATATTACAGATTACATTTCAAACCCAGGTCATGTGAGAATTAGTTTTCAAAAAATGCCAACATTTATTTATGAACTATTATAAACTGACACATATGTGGGGAAGTGGGAAAGTACGACTCCCAAGAAAACGATGAGTCATATCTCTTCAAAGCTTGAACATTCATTCTGAATCAAAGCCATTTGAGGATAAACAGTCCACAGTTTACAGATGTTGTCAGTATAACTTGTGTTGCCTAAATCCAATCAGTGTTTGACATGTCAGCAAATAGTTTAATCAATAGATGTCAACAAATATACAGAAGCGAAAGGGTTTTGAAGCTGATGAAAACATGGCCACTAGAGCTAAGGTGTGTTTTTATGGAAGTCATTTCTGAAACATTGGTAGAGCCACCAGATAGACATAGGGCAGAGGGAACATAGGGCTGATGGAACATAAACATGAGGAAACATTGGATTGAGGGATCACAGGGCTGAGGGAACAAAGGATTAAGGTAGGGCCGAGGGAACAAAGGGTTGAGGGAACAAAGGGTTGAGGGAACATTGGGTTGAGGGAACATTGGGCTGAGAAAACATAGACATGCTCCATAAAAAAAGGCTCTCTCTTAGTAGCTACTTAATGTGCATGATATTAAATAATTTCTTTGGTACACTTTTCTTATATCTCTGCATTAGTGTCTGTCTTTCTGTCTC